TACATGTTACAATGTAACTACAGTACATGTTACAACCTAACTACAGTAACTATTACAAACTAACTACATGTTGCAACCTAACTACAGAACATGTTACAACCTAACTACATGTTGCAACCTAACTACAGTACATGTTACAATGTAACTACAATACATGTTACAACCTAACTACAGTAACTATTACAAACTAACTACATGTTGCAACCTAACTACATGTTGCAACCTAACTACATGTTGCAACGTGTTACAACCTAACTACAGTACATGTTACAATGTAATTAAATATACAACCTAACTACAGTAACTATTACAAACTAACCATGTGTTACAAACTAACTACATGTTGCAACCTAAATACATGTTGCAAACTAAATACATGTTGCAACCTAACTAGGCTACACTTTGCAACCTAACTAGGCTACATGTTGCAACCTAACTAGGCTACATGTTGCAACCTAACTATATATTACAACCTAACTACAGTACGTGTTACAATGTAACCCAACTGGTATCAATAGGGAGACTTCTGTGGTATCAATAGGGAGTCTTCTGTGGTATCAATAGGGAGACGTCTGTGGTATCAATATGGAGTCTTCTGTGGTATCAATAGGGAGACTTCTGTGGTATCAATAGGGAGACTTCTGTGGTATCAATAGGGAGACTTCTGTGGTATCAATAGGGAGACTTCTGTGGTATCAATAGGGAGACTTCTGTGGTATCAATAGGGAGACTTCTGTGGTATCAATAGGGAGACTTCTGTGGTATCAATAGGGAGACTTCTGTGGTATCAATAGGGAGGTCCACTAGGTATGAACTCCCTGCTCGTTTTGGCTGTTTCTCCCATCTAGTGGTAGAATATCAATATCACTAAAGACTCCACAGCCATTCGATTTGACGACCTGTAAACTATTGACTAAACTCGGCCAATTAGATATGACATGAGTTACTATGTCATGGAGATATACTCATCTTAGAGGTGACTGATACCTTTAATATCTGCCCACTCCTGTTGCACATCACAACTTGATGTTATTAATGGGTGAAACATAATAGTAGACATGAACCTTTTAATAATTGAACAGCAACTTTGTAATTCGAACTCAGACACAAAGGCATTAATCAAGATAGAGAAAGATAGCATGTTGATTTAGGTAACAATAAAGAAAATAACCTAATATAGAGCAATAGTACTCCCATTATTTCTTGAAATTGGACATCTTTAGCAAAACAAAGCATAGTTTGGTTCACATGACCATAACAGTCAAATAAAGGACAGAGTATTTGAACAATATAAGAAAAAAGAGGGCACACAGTGTTGAGTTCATTATGTGTTGAATGTGGGCAATCAAGATACATAGCCAATACAATGAAGTGGTGGTAACTTAAGCCAATCGTCGAACAGAAGCCAATAAAATCAAGTGTTAATTAATGATAATTGACTGACAGAGTATCAGGTGTAGCTCATTGCAGCGCTATCACGCATCATCATACAGTGCCACATCATCAAAAAGTCCTCAGTCATTTCCTCCACAAAGGTTGCAACCTAACTCCAGTACATGTTGCAACAAACTACACTACATGTTACAACCTAACTACATGTTGCAACCTAACTACAGTACATGTTACAATGTAACTACAGTACATGTTACAATGTAACTACATATTACAACCTAACTACAGTAACTATTACAAACAAACTACATGTTGCAACCTAACTATTCTACATGTTGCAACCTAACTATGCTACATGTTGCAATGTAACTACAGTACATGTTACAATGTAACTACAGTACATGTTACAATGTAACTACAGTACATGTTACAATGTAACTACAGTACATGTTACAATGTAACTACATGTTGCAAGCTAACTACATGTTGCAACCCAACTACATGTTGCAACCTAACTACAGAACATGTTACAACCTAACTACAGTACATGTTACAATGTAACTACAGTACATGTTACAACCTAACTACAGTAACTATTACAAACTAACTACATGTTGCAACCTAACTACAGAACATGTTACAACCTAACTACATGTTGCAACCTAACTACAGTACATGTTACAATGTAACTACAATACATGTTACAACCTAACTACAGTAACTATTACAAACTAACTACATGTTGCAACCTAACTACATGTTGCAACCTAACTACATGTTGCAACGTGTTACAACCTAACTACAGTACATGTTATAATGTAATTAAATATACAACCTAACTACAGTAACTATTACAAACTAACCATGTGTTACAAACTAACTACATGTTGCAACCTAAATACATGTTGCAAACTAAATACATGTTGCAACCTAACTAGGCTACACTTTGCAACCTAACTAGGCTACATGTTGCAACCTAACTAGGCTACATGTTGCAACCTAACTATATATTACAACCTAACTACAGTACGTGTTACAATGTAACCCAACTGGTATCAATAGGGAGACTTCTGTGGTATCAATAGGGAGTCTTCTGTGGTATCAATAGGGAGACGTCTGTGGTATCAATATGGAGTCTTCTGTGGTATCAATAGGGAGACGTCTGTGGTATCAATAGGGAGACTTCTGTGGTATCAATAGGGAGACTTCTGTGGTATCAATAGGGAGACTTCTGTGGTATCAATAGGGAGACTTCTGTGGTATCAATAGGGAGACTTCTGTGGTATCAATAGGGAGACTTCTGTGGTATCAATAGGGAGTCTTCTGTGGTATCAATAGGGAGGTCCACTAGGTATGAACTCCCTGCTCGTTTTGGCTGTTTCTCCCATCTAGTGGTAGAATATCAATATCACTAAAGACTCCACAGCCATTCGATTTGACGACCTGTAAACTATTGACTAAACTCGGCCAATTAGATATGACATGAGTTACTATGTCATGGAGATATACTCATCTTAGAGGTGACTGATACCTTTAATATCTGCCCACTCCTGTTGCACATCACAACTTGATGTTATTAATGGGTGAAACATAATAGTAGACATGAACCTTTTAATAATTGAACAGCAACTTTGTAATTCGAACTCAGACACAAAGGCATTAATCAAGATAGAGTAAGATAGCATGTTGATTTAGGTAACAATAAAGAAAATAACCTAATATAGAGCAATAGTACTCCCATTATTTCTTGAAATTGGACATCTTTAGCAAAACAAAGCATAGTTTGGTTCACATGACCATAACAGTCAAATAAAGGACAGAGTATTTGAACAATATAAGAAAAAAGAGGGCACACAGTGTTGAGTTCATTATGTGTTGAATGTGGGCAATCAAGATACATAGCCAATACAATGAAGTGGTAACTTAAGCCAATCGTCGAACAGAAGCCAATAAAATCAAGTGTTAATTAATGATAATTGACCGACAGAGTATCAGGTGTAGCTCATTGCAGCGCTATCACGATCATCATACAGTGCCACATCATCAAAAAGTCCTCAGTCATTTCCTCCACAAAGGTTGCCAACCTAACTCCAGTACATGTTGCAACAAACTACACTACATGTTACAACCTAACTCCAGTACATGTTGCAATTACTAAAGTACAAACTATTACAAACAAATACATTGTTGCCAACCTCTATTTAAGTTGAAAAACCCTAACTATGCCAATTTTCCCCAATTGAAAACTACAGACATGTTACAATGAAAAATACAGACATGTTACAATTGTAACACAGACAGTTACAGAAAAACTACAGAAATTTACAAGTAATACTTTTGCAAGCTAAACTACATGTTGAAAACCCAAAAATAATTTTTAAAAACCTAACTACGAAACATTTTTACAACCTAACTACAGTAAAGTTAAAAAGTAATACAGAAAACATTTTACAACCAACTACAGAAAACTATACAAATAACACATGTGAAACCCCCAAACTAAGAAAATGTTACAACCTAACTACCATGTTGAAACCAAAACTACAGTACATTTTAATGTAACTACAATAAGTTAAACCCAAAAAAATACATTTAAACTTTTAAAAATAACTACAGTTGAAAAACCTAACTACATGTTGCCAAACCAAAAACAAATTTGAAAACGTGTTACAACCTAACTACAGTACATGTTACAATGTAATTAAATATACAACCTAACTACAGTAACTATTACAAACTAACCATGTGTTACAAACTAACTACATGTTGCAACCTAAATACATGTTGCAAACTAAATACATGTTGCAACCTAACTAGGCTACACTTTGCAACCTAAACTAGGCTACATGTTGCAACCTAACTAGGCTACATTGTTGCCAACCTAACTATATATTACAACCTAACTACAGTACGTGTTACAATGTAACCCAACTGGTATCAATAGGGAGACTTCTGTGGTATCAATAGGGAGACTTCTGTGGTATCAATATGGAGTCTTCTGTGGTATCAATAGGGAGACTTCTGTGGTATCAATAGGGAGACTTCTGTGGTATCAATAGGGAGACTTCTGTGGTATCAATAGGGTGTCTTCTGTGGTATCAATAGGGTGTCTTCTGTGGTATCAATAGGGAGTCTTCTGTGGTATCAATAGGGAGGTCCACTAGGTATGAACTCCCTGCTCGTTTTGGCTGTTTCTCCCATCTAGTGGTAGAATATCAATATCACTAAAGACTCCACAGCCATTCGATTTGACGACTTGTAAACTAAAGACTAAACTCGGCCAATTAGATATGACATGAGTTACTATGTCATGGAGATATACTCATCTTAGAGGTGACTGATACCTTTAATATCTGCCCACTCCTGTTGCACATCACAACTTGATGTTATTAATGAGTGTAACATAATAGTAGACATGAACCTTTTAATAATTGAACAGCAACTTTGTAATTCGAACTCAGACACAAAGGCATTAATCAAGATAGAGTAAGATAGCATGTTGATTTAGGTAACAATAAAGAAAATAACCTAATATAGAGCAATAGTACTCCCATTATTTCTTGAAATTGGACATCTTTAGCAAAACAAAGCATAGTTTGGTTCACATGACCATAACAGTCAAATAAAGGACAGAGTATTTGAACAATATAAGAAAAAAGAGGGCACACAGTGTTGAGTTCATTATGTGTTGAATGTGGGCAATCAAGATACATAGCCAATACAATGAAGTGGTAACTTAAGCCAATCGTCGAACAGAAGCCAATAAAATCAAGTGTTAATTAATGATAATTGACTGACAGAGTATCAGGTGTAGCTCATTGCAGCGCTATCACGCATCATCATACAGTGCCACATCATCAAAAAGTCCTCAGTCATTTCCTCCACAAAGGTAGAGCAGGGCCTTTCCGTAGTCCCCAGTGGTGTCCTCCTGGGAATGAGTAAACAAATAAACACAGACTGGCATGAAAGGTGTTGTCAGCACTACCAAACAGACAATCAGCCTATGGATTACATAGGTCCTGTATACTCAGGTTGTACAGCTGATGTACAACACATTTGATAGATATTTTTCTGATACAACAGAGTTATTCTGCAAAAAAAGGTTTACAAAACCATTGTGCAGTGTCTTCACAATGGTTGTGTAAACAAATGTCTGTCATACTGCACATTGTCAACCTGACGCAAGTGATTATTACCAAGTCAGAGAGGAAGGCTGCTCATTATTACAAGTCAGAGAGGAAGGCTGCTCATTATTACCAAGTCAGAGAGGAAGGCTGCTCATTATTACCAAGTCAGAGAGGAAGGCTGCTCATTATTACCAAGTCAGAGAGGAAGGCTGCTCATTATTACCAAGTCAGAGAGGAAGGCTACTCATTATTACCAAGTTAGAGAGGAAGGCTGCTCATTATTACCAAGTCAGAGAGGAAGGCTACTCATTATTACCAAGTCAGAGAGGAAGGCTACTCATTATTACCAAGTCAGAGAGGAAGACTGCTCATTATTACCAAGACAGAGAGGAAGGCTGCTTATTATTACCAAGTCAGAGAGGAAGGCTGCTCATTAATACCAAGTCAGAGAGGAAGGCTCCTCATTATTTCCAAGTCAGAGAGGAAGGCTACTCATTTTTACCAAGTCAGAGAGGAAGACTGCTCATTATTACCAAGTCAGAGAGGAAGGCTGCTCATTATTACCAAGTCAGAGAGGAAGGCTACTAATTATTACCAAGTCAGAGAGGAAGACTGCTCATTATTACCAAGTCAGAGAGGAAGGCTGCTCATTATTACCAAGTCAGAGAGGAAGACTACTCATTATTACCAAGTCAGACAGCATGTTATGCTGAGTCATGAATAATAGTGTCATGAATGGATGATGTAGGCTGTAGATGGCGGGGTTGGAAATAAGGACGCATGACAGGAGGTTGCATGTATGCACTGGTCCTATCCATTTGGCATTACACCAGTCTCTAGTACGCCCTCATCATTCTGCCTCCAGTGTGGTATCAACATCTCCCATGAAACCAGCTATTTTATTCTTCCTATCCAGATACTGATGAGCTAAAAACCTAGGAGGAGACTCAGGAGAGTAAAAGCTTGTCACAGTGGCTCACTCGCTACAATATTTAGGGAGCTTGTGGCTGAGGCAGCTGGAATAATGGACCTGTCACTCAGGTGATTTCCCAGTGTATTGGCTGTGACACAAATCTATCTAATGACTCTATCAGTGGAGGCTGCTGAGGAAAGGACGGCTCACATGGACACCACATCTTTGATGTGGTTGATCCCACTCCATTGACTCCATTCCAGCCATTATTATGAGCCGTCCTCCCCTCAGCAGCCTCCACTGCTCTCTAGTGTCACTTGTTAGGTGGAAGCTGAGTATAGAAGTGGATTATTATGGTTAGTCGTTTGGGGTAAAGGTGAGACTATTGAATTGTACCTGGTTAGAGGAGAGACTAGTCCACTGTACCTAAAAATGAACCTATATGCAAACAGTTAGGGGAGAGACTAGACCATTGTGCCTGAATCGTTAAAAAGGAGACTAGCTTATTGTACCAGAATGGATAGAGGTGAGACTAGCCCACTGTATACCTGAATGGTGGTGTAGAGAGAGGCCCCATACATCTTCTTAAACCAGGCTCTGATGTCCAGCATGTCTGTCTCAGCCCTGGACACCATGATTCTCATCAGAGTCTGGTCATCAGTGCCAGCACGCTAACAAAAAAACAATAGACATCACAATTACAAATGCCTAAACCTAACTTCCTGAATACTTTTTGGAGATATGCGGTGGTAATTGAAACTTTCTGGTAAATCCTCCATGGGATGATAGATGACAACACAAAGACCATACCCTCATAGACCTGTAGAGGGACTCTGCAAAGTAGGCTGGGACACTCTTAATACACTTCACTATGGAAAGGAAAGATGACATTCCCAAATAATTAGTTCATTTTTCAATATAAAGCATGTATGTACAAGATGTATTGACTGATAGGTGGTTTAGGTTTGATTTATCAAAATGCAATACAGAAATCTCATTCTTTAATTGTGTTAGATTTTAGTTTTGTATATTTTTTTCAAATATTTTTTAAACTTTACTGTGGCTGCTTGTCATCATTGTAGAGTCTTACCAACTGCCAGCATTAAGTTCTCCAGGTTTCCAGTAGTCTCGCCCTCAATGCTGTCCTCAATATCATTGCCAGACAGCTTCTTGTAGGCGTCAAACACTTGCAATGAAAAACAAAATACATATGAGAATTTGATGTTATTTGATGTTATAATAAAAGTGCAGAATGCAATTCTGTTTTAATGATTGAACGAAATGGCACACACACACCTAGTCGAAGGTGTTCATGGCTCCTATTGCCCAGGATGTTGATGAATTTCTCTTCGCTTGTGCCAACTTTCCCCTCGCCAGCAGCAATCAGTTCCTGAAGCGCACACACACACACACACACACACACACACACACACACACACACACACACACACACACACACACACACACACACACACACACACAAACACACAAATATAAGTACCCCACTGATAACATTGCTCAGTGCGCTTTAATAAACTGTTATTACAAGTGTGGTATGCAAGTGTTTGCCTCAAATCCTGTCATTGGTGTTCAGAATGTCTGTTTAATACAACCTTTATTAGTTGCAGTAGAAAGTAGTAACCCGGAGTTACAATGTTTGATCAATGATCTATGAAGAAATGTAAATGTTTTGGAGCCAGTCACTGAATATAATAAGGCCATGATCAATGAAGCAGCTGACAAAGGCAGGGGACCTGTATTATACATGTATGTGTAATCATTAAATGTCGTGTAGCCTACAACGTTGATCCAAGTATGAAAACAAAATACCTACAAATGAATGTTAGTTTTTAAGTCCATGGGATTTTCCGTTCCAGGAAGCAGATGTACTAAATCCAATTTTTCATATCGATCATTTATCAGTGATCACTATGATACACTTGAAGCTTGCTTTGTCCTTTAGGCCTACTGTATGTTAATGGTTTGGCGCCATATCGTGAGCATGCTAATATTTGAGCGCTTGAAGACAAAATGTATTATGTCTTGCCATATAGCGCAGCACTTAGCGATCATCCACCCGCTAATTGGATTCTGTTACCTTTGCGTCTTTCTCAATCCTGTCTTCATCCACCCCTTCGTCCCTGCTCCCCTACACAAGAGAACAGAGGAGCAAAGGGGCAGAAAAAAGAACAGAGGGAAAAAGGTCAGTGCATCATGGGAGAAGAGTGATGTCTACCCTTCATGACCTCATCTTTGCTGATTGCCTCCCAACCTGGCAACCTGGTGGGTTAGGTTACCAAGACCCAGAGGACCATGATATACCTACCGTACGTACCCTTCCCTCCTCATTCCTCCTCATTCCATCCTCACCTTTCGTGAACCACTCATGACTTTATAATGACATCACCAAAGCACTCCCATTATCAGAAAGGAAATACTTTATCCCATCATCCCTCATCGCCCTCATTCCTATACCCGCATGCCCTCGTCGCCAGCCGCGCACGCGTCAGAGCGCAGACCGGCGCGAAGAGCCCGAGCACCCGAGGGCGCCGCAACCACGACCCGCCGAAGAAAGAAGCGCGCGAGCCCGCGGCCGCGGAGCGGCAGAGGCGCCGCGCACGAAGAGCCCCAAGCACCGGCCGCAGCCCGCAAGCAATGGAGCGCCGCGCAGCGGAAGAAAAAGAGAAGGAAGTCAGCAGGTCCTCATCGCTTATCTCACCCTACCTATCTTTCTCCGAGAGATCCCGAAGCCGCGACGCAGCACAAGCGCGCGGAGCCGCGGCGAAGCTCCAGCAGCCCGCGAGCCAGCGCGCACGCGCGAACGCGTGCCTGCAAAGGCGCGCAGCGAGCGCAGCACGACGGCACCGCGGAGCGCGGCCGCAAGAGCCCCGCGAGTCGCGCAGCGCAGAGCGCCGCGCAGAGCCCGGAAGCAGAGCGCGAAGCCCGCGCGCCAGCCCGATGAGCAGAGAGAAAGCGAGCCAGCAGCCCGCGCGCGACGCCGCGCAGCCTCGCGCGCCGGAGCCCCGCAGCCGCAGCCACGCCGCGCCGCGCCGACAGCGCCAGCGTCAGCCGTGCACAGCTCCAGCCCCGCGCGCATCCGCTGCCGCAGCCCGCTGCGCCGCAGCCTAGGCGCAGCCCGTCTGCTCTGCACGCGGCGCAGCCCGCTGCGCGCCCCCGCAGCCGCGAGCGCAGAATCGAGCCGCAAGCCGCCCAGGCGGAGCCGCGCGCACCGCTAAACCATCCTGCACCGCTCAGCACGCCCATCTCCACCAAAGCCGATCAGCGATCAAGCCGCAATCCCGCCCCTCCCACACGTCTCATCCTTAGCGCCCTCTAGCTAACCCTCCCGACCCCCCTCTCCTCACCCCTCCCAGCCAAGATCGTCTCCGCATCCACTGTCGAGTCATGCAACCCTCTCCCACCCTCCCGCAGCACGCACGCTCGCACCCACGCCCGCCGCGCCACTCCCCGCAGCCCCGAGCGCAGCCCGCCGCAGCCGAACGCCCCCAGCACGCTCAGCCCGGCGCATCGCCCAGCGGCCGCAGCCCGCTGCCAGCAACGCGCTGAGCAGCCCGCCCAGCCCAGCACCGGCGCTCCCGAGCAAGCCCGAGCCCGCCCGCCGCACCGCGCGCCCCCGCGCCGCGCCCGAGCCAGGCGCAGAGCACCCAGACCGCGCCAGACCGCCAACGCGCGCAACCCCGCGCAGCCGCGAGCAGCACGGCAGCAGCAGCGCGGCCAGCCGCAGACCGCAGCGCGAGACCGCGAGAGCCAGGCCCGAGGCCGCGCGACGCGCACCCGAGCGCCGCAGACGCGCGCAGAAGAGGAGCGCAGCGCGCGACCCGACGCAGCGGCCCCCCGCAGCCGGCGAAGCCGCAGCGCGCGCCACAGCGGCAGCCGCGCAGCAGAGGCAGCGCGCGCGAGCAAGCCCGAGGAAGCGCGCAGAGCGAAGCCGCGACGAGACGCGGCGCAAGAAGGAGGCAGACCCCACAGGCAGAGAGGGAGCGAAGAAGAGCCGAGCCCACCCAAGCAGCGAGCGAAGGCACGCGCGCAACGCCGAACGCGAGGAGAGCAGCCAGGAGCGAGAGCGAGCAGCGCAAAGAGCAGAAGCAGACAGAAGCCGAACAAGGAGAAGGAGGCCACCGGCAAAGACAGAGCAGAGCAGACGAGAGCGAGAAGCAGCAGAAGACCGAGAAGCACGAGAAAGACCGAGAAGCCGCGAGAGACGAAGACGGAGCCGGAGAAGGGAGAGAAAGAAGGAGAGGCGAGCAGAGAAGAAGCAGAGACGAAGGCACCGCCCCCCCCCCCCCCCCCCCCCCCCCCCCCCCCACCCCCCCCCCACCCCCACCCCCCCACCCCCCCCCCACCCCCCCCCCCCCCCAAACCCCCCCACCCCCCCCCACCCCCCCCCCACCCCCCCCCCCCCACCCCCCCCCCCCCCCCCCCCCCCCCCCCCCACCCCCCCCCCCCCCCCCCAACCCCCCCCCCCCCCCCCCCACCCCCCCCAAACCCCCTTTCCCCCCCCCCCCCCCCCCCCCCCACCCCCCCCCCCTCCCCCCATTCCCCCCCCCCCCCACCCCCCCCCCCCCCCCCCCCCCCCCACCCCCCCCCCACCCCCCCCACCCTTTCCCCCCCCCCCCCCCACCCCCCTCCCCCCCCCCCCCCCCCCCCCACCCCCCCCACCCCCCCACCCCCCCCCCACCCCCCAATCCCCCACCCCCCCCCACCCCCCCCACCCCCCCCCCCCCCCCCCCCCCACCCCCACCCCCCCAAAACCCCCCCAAACCCAACCCCCCCCCCCCCCCCCCCACCCCCCCACCCCCCTCCCCCCCCCCCCAACCCCCCACCCCCCACCCCCCCCCTTTTTCCCCCCCCCCCTCTTCCCCCCCCCCCCTCCCCCCCCCAATTTTCCTTTCCCCCCCCCCCCCCCCCCCCCCCCCCCCCCCCCCCCCCCCCCCCTCCCCCCCCCCCCCCCCCCCCCCCCCTTTTCCCCTTCCCCCCCCCCCCACCCCTTTTCCCCCACCCCCCCTCCCCCCCCCCCCCTCCCTCTCCCTTTCCCTTTCCCCCTCCCCCCCTTTTCTTCCCTCCTGCCTCACTCCCTACCCACCCCCCCCCCCCCCCCACCCCCCCCCATCCCCCCCCCCCCCCCCCCCCACCCCCCTTTCCCCCCCTTCCCTCCCCCCCTCCCCCCCCCCCCCCTTTTCCCCCTCCTCCCTCTTTCCCCCCAACCCGGCTTGTTCCCCCTCACCCTTCCCTCACCCCTCCCTCCCTCCCCCTCCACTCTCCTTCCCCTCCCCTCCCCCCTCCTCTTTTTCCTTCTCTTTTCGTTTCCGCGCTTTAAATTTTTTGGGGCCCTCACCTATTCTTTTTTTTCCACTTCCCCCCACTTTTTAAAAAAGGGGAAAAGGGGGGGGTTTTTCCTTAATCTCTTTTAATCGCATCCCCCAAACTCTTTCTTTTAAAAAACCCCCCCGGGGGGAATTTTTTTAAGGGAAAGGGGGAACTTTTCTCCCGTGCCACCAAATGGGGGGGAGGGGAAAGGCAAGGGGTTTAATTTTTGGGGTTCAAGGGAAAAAAAATTTTGGGGTTTGCAAAGGAAAAAAAAAGTTTGGGGACCAGGGTTTTTTTGGTAGCCCCGCTTTCTTTTGGAAAAACGGTGGCTTCTTGAAAATGGGGGATGGGGTTAAATTTTTTTTAAAGGGGTTGCCATGGGGGAAAAAATTTTGGGGCGGGGGTAAAATTTGTTTCCTTTTTTAAGGGGGAATGAAAAGTATGAATAGCGGGTGAGAAAAAATTTGGTTGGGGGGCCCATATAACCTTCTTTTTCCCAAAATTTTAATTTTTTTTTAAAAGGGGAAAAAACCCCCTTAACCAGGACAGAAACTTTAGTAAAATTTAAAACAAAACCTTTAAAAAATTCCCAATTAAAACCTTTGGTCATTTGTTTTGGGGAAAAGTCCCCCGGCTTTGGAACCCCCCCCTTTTTCAGCACGGGTCTATGATTCTGCTATCTCATCCCTCTCCTCATCCTTTCTCTCCCATACCTCTCCTCATCCCTCTCCTCATCCCTCTCTCCTCATCACTCTCCTCATCCCTCTCTCTCCTCATCCCTCTCTCATTCTTCCTTCTCTCTTCGATTACCTGCAGAAGCGTTATTAGAAGCTTTTGGAAGTGGCCCGAGGTGTCACCGGTGATATCTTTCTCCAGCTTGCCGCCGCACTCTGAGAAAGATGAGAAGAGGAGGAAGGGCAGAAGATTGTTTACACTTATATCTGACAATGGTTGCTAATGGCAGCAATCGACCCAGACTGGACGTGTTCTGTTTAGCCAAAGGTCTCCGCCAGGGGAATTTGATTAGCAGGGTAACAGATGGATCAGGCTTCTCCAGTGTCCATCTCAGATGGCCAGGGTGGCTCTTATCCTTGGCCTATTGTGCCAGTAGCCTGGTTCAGATCTGTTTGTGCTCTGTGACAATGGCATGACAATGACCATTGGAGTTGACAAGGCAGCACAAACAGATCTGGGACCAGGCTGTTGTGCTAGACCCTCGCTGTGTCTATTGGCTGAAGATGCAGGACTAGGAACGTACTCTTGAAAATAGACTGGGTACTTGATGCGGTTGATATAGTGTTTATTTTAAGTTCTAGGGGTTGATCTGCACTGAGGTGAACACATTCTGATGGGCTGCCCTGAGGGTAGAAAGTTTGATTGGACAGCTCTATATTAAGAAGCATAGTGAACAAATGTATGAACCTAGTCAGGGGTGAGCACAGAACTACCATTAGGTTACATTGGTGGTCAACAATGCATGGTAATCCTGTCTATCCTATACCAAGTCCATATAACTTTCCTTCATCCTTCGTTTGAAGCAAGGTATCAGACCGCTCTCATAGCCCAGCGACAGAAACATCTAGAATAAGAATGAGTGGAACAAACAGACATTCAGATTCAAAGCAAGGTTCCACAATATGTGGACGACCGGTGGTCATATTGTATTCTGGGAGCCAATTTGTCACCGCTTTAGCTTTAGGCAAGGCACCGATCCAGCATTTGAAAGTAGAAGCAGTACGGTATCCAGGTTATGCAGATTGGATGCAACACGTGGAATGTGTCATTTTACTTGATGGACTGTGACAAATCATGTGGATTGTGTTCAGCTTAACTTCTCTCTACTGTTGAATAAACATGTTATGGATGTTTTTATGAATGATACTGCAACACTCATAAAGGTGTTACCTGTTTTCCTTGGGGAACCTAACCTCTCACCTTTCTTGTAGATGTTGAATGAATCCCACTGGGCACAGACCTCAGTTCAACGTCTAGTTTTGATTTACATTTGGTTGAGTTGCCAACTAATGTGAATTCAACGTGAAATCAACAAAAAATGTCACCCATGACATTGGATTTAGGTTAAAAATACTAAATTCCCTTATGCCGATGACTTTTTTGAAATCCAATCAGTTTTCCACTTAGATTTGTCTGTTGAAATTACATGGAAACAACGTTGATTCAGCCAGTTTTTGACCAGTGGGATATGTTATGAATGTGTCATGACACATTTAACCTCTCACCTTTCTTGTAGACTTTGACGATGTCTTTAATCTGGGCGCAGGTCCTAGATGCTAGGATCTCAATCAGCACGTCGTCATCAGTCCCCACCCCCTGGGGAACAACAGTCAGAGACCCTCAGACAAGCCCACTCAATACCTGGCTGGCCATTCTTAGTGTATTGTTGATATAGTCCCAAAATGTTTTACATGTCAGCAATCAAGTTTTCAAGATATACAGGTATAACTTTTTTATGTAAAATGCATCATACCAGCTTTATCTTTGTATTTTGAAAGTTATATATCTTGAAAACTTGATTGCTGATATGCAAAACATTTTGGGGCTATATCAACAATGGACTAATGAAAGAAATACCAAAATATTGTTTTTGGGTGGAGTTTTCCTTTAACTCTGACCCTGCCAAAGCATAGCAGTACTATAGTATTCAATCATAACAAGCTGCTAAGTCTTGGACAAACCTAACAAGGCTACATGGAAGATGAAAAACATGGCCACACATATTGTGCGACACCTTCATTAGTGTAGCCTATAATGGACTGGCTTTCTGCAGGGAAAGAAGAAAATACTTCAGGAGAGCTAGAAGATTTAAGACCATTAACCGATGGAGCATGTTAACATTCACCTGAAATAATCTAGACACATGACCAATATCCTGCACATACTGTACCTGATGGTAAAAATACCATACAATTCGTAATTCTACATAGAGAGAAATATGTCTGTTCTACACAATATACTGTTGTACTTTACCTTAAACTGTACTTTACCTTCATTCTATGTAGACTCGCATGTCTGACTGCACAATACATTACTTATTCTTGGAGCCATAACCAACATAGACTATACATTGCTGTACTTTACCTTGAGTGCTTTATGGAGTTGAGAGGCGTCATAGGAAATGGGAGGAGTTATCAACGCCACAACGAGCATCTCGAACAAACCTCCCAGCTCCGACTTTAAAGCACTCACAAGATCCTGTGGAAAAATAAAGTCAATATTAAGAGAACTTAGACAATGGAAGAAGTGTTTGCTTTAGACTTTTCTTTTTAATAAGAAATATCTAAACAAATAGAGCCGAAATCTCTTACTCAATTGATACATTTGAATTATTCACAAGATCCTGAGGATAAAATAAAGTCCATAATTCTCATAACTTTGAACAATGGAAAAAGTGTTTGCTTTGGACCTTTAAAAAACAAAAACAAAAATATTTAGAATAACAGAGCCGAATTCCTTACCTCGATCAATTAATTTAAATTATTTAAATATTGTATGATTAATATTCTGATAACTTTGACAATGGAAGAAGTGTTTGGTTAAAGTAATATGAAAACACCAAGAATAGCAGAGCAGAAATCCTTACTTCAATCAATACATTTGATTGGTTAACAGGTGTTTTGATAACATGTACATAGAAGTGTAAACCAACACTTGGTTTATGAGCGAGAGTTCAATTTATTAGTATTGACTCTAAAAAACATCAGTTGAGTCACTCCTAATACATATACTGGATTGAGAGGGTTATCAGACACCATTGTGACTACATTTATTGTTGGCTTTCTTGTTATGATAAGCCACCAGACATTTCAACACAGTACTAACAGAAGTGTACATCGGAATAGATTTTTATTAGCCATTTATCATAGATTTGGGTATTTTTGAAGTGCCGATTTGAACGAGAGAGAGAGTCTGACTGCATAATATTTCAGAACTCTCACGAGGGCCTATACTGTAGCTGTTGGACAGATGCTATTCATCACGGATAAGTCCCAAACCTCTCCCAGCCCCAGTGCTGCTAGCTACGTGACATCTGCGCAATGGCAATACTGTCATGCCAATCTGCCCCTACTAATAAACCCCATATTTGAGAGTAACAGTAAAGCATTTTGGCAGTATTGAAATTCATACTTGGATGTCCAGCACCTGCACAAAGCCATTGGGTGTGCATATGCTCTACTCTTTTTCAGTAACAGTAGAACATTTTTATATTGTTTTCCCTTAGGTAACCTTCAGGTAGACCCACTTGTTTTGGCTGATGAGTGATGAGGTTGGTGACATGACCTGTAGGCTTCAATCAGACCTGTAAGCTTCCTGTCTCACCTTTCCGTGGGCCTTCTTGTACGCCGCCTTAATTTCCTGCCGTTGATTGTTGCTGCGCGATGTCAGGAGCATGAGAATGGTGTCCTCATAAGTGCCTGACAAACGTACAGTAATTCATCTTAAATCAGTAACATGAGAACATGTCTTGATCATTAATTGCAGAACTCATTAAAACAAGGCCACCCCTACCAGTTTGAAATAACTCTAGTTAGTTACCACAGTAAAGACATTAAGTTTGTGTTTACAACGATAAAGGGATGATTCACCCCAAAATCTAAGTTTATCAGTGATTTCCATGCCCTATGTTGAGGTGAGTCCATATTCCATAAAGAGAGTGGTCATTGTGGTTTGAAAGGCAACAACAAACTATGTGGGCCTACAGACCTCAATTAGATTGGCACCATGTTATCTCAACTGGAGGATGAACTGTCCCTTTAATAAGCACTAGATCAATTCTCACCAGGGAAATTACAAGACAAATGGACCAACGCAAAAACAATCAATACCAATAACTTTTAAAAGGCATCAATACCTCTGGGGTACAGCAAATTAATATCAGGGCTGAGACAAGTCACTGCATTTCCTGGGTAACGTTGAAATAGATTTGTTATCCAGACTTAATTATGCCATAAAGCAGGTCACCGCTTATAATGTGATCTGGTTCAAAGATCAGAGGTCAGATTGATTATGAGCTCCAATGATAAGTCAAGCTATAATTCAGAGATATGCCTCCATTTTACGATCGTCTTGCCCTTTACTTCCTCTGTACAACACTGTATCTTTTGGCCTCAAGGCCATCAAATGCATCACAACACTGGGACAATTGGTTTAAACCAATGACATATAGAGGAAGTTGTCATTATGGTGGTCATTACAGATGTAGGATCTTAATTTGATTACTTTTTTGTTGCTGAGAATTTTCCTGCAAGGCAAGTATTACAATTTTTAAAAGGCTTCTAAGGTTTGTAATTTCCAGATTTGATTTACCCTAACGAAAAATATATCAACCCCTACAAAAATGTCATTAATTATAATCCACATAATAATTCACATTTCCTGTTGCTGCAGGATTATTTTCCTGCTGTACCAAACTGGCTCAAATTAAGATCCTACAATACATCTGTATGTACTGCTGTGATGAATTCCAGGTCATTTGAGAGGGAAACGAAGTTCAAAGGTCAAATAGGCAAAGCAAATTCAAATAAAAATCTCATTAGCCTTTTTTCTCCGTATCATGATGGGGCTGAACACATGCCTTTCAAGCTCTATAATCTAAATTAGTAACCTTAGTTCCATAAAAACACACCATTACAGTGGCATTATGCCGGGGAATTGTAGGGGAATAAAGTATTGTACAAGATATTTAAGTAGTTATAATACTAGCCGGACACTTAACACAGCTAATGCAGTTTTTCTAAGCAAAAAAAGAGTAGTTACGGAATAAATACAGCTTGTTACAAAAAAATGTACAGTGTAAATACATATTCCACTGCAGTTTCTCTGGTAGAGTTTATACAGTGCCTTGCAAAATGGATTTTTATTTGGATTTCATGTAATGGACATTGGTGAAGTGAAATGAAAAAAATAACTTGTTTCAAAGAATTCTAAAAAATTAATAACGGAAAAGAGGTGCGTGCATATGTATTCACCCCCTTTGCTATGAAGCCCCTAAATAAGATCTGGTGCAACCAATTACCTTCAGAAGTCACATAATTAGTTAAATAAATGTAACCTGTGTGCAATCTAAGTGTCACATGATCTGTCACATGATCTCAGTATATATACAGTGGGGAAAAAAGTATTTAGTCAGCCACCAATTGTGCAAGTTCTCCCACTTAAAAAGATGAGAGAGGCCTGTAATTTTCATCATAGGTACACGTCAACTATGACAGACAAAATTAGAATTTTTTTTCCAGAAAATGACATTGTAGGATTTTTAATGAATTTATTTGCAAATTATGGTGGAAAATAAGTATTTGGTCAATAACAAAAGTTTCTCAATACTTAGTGTTATATCTAGCCTAGTTGTAAAAGAACGGACATCTGCACAGTTTCACATTGAACATCACTCTGTCGTTTAATGACATGTGCCACGCATTCTGACAACCCATTCATCCGTAACGCAGCACACTGTCGTAAACCATAACAACGTACAGTACGACGTACAGCACGTCGTACCATACATAACATTTCCCCCCCCCTTTCCAAAACCAGGGACTGGTACCATATATAAAATGTCCATAGGGCAAGAACCTAGAGTGATACCTGTAAGAAATAAACATTAACCCTTAAACGGATGGACTCTCCAAACTAGCCAGTTCAGTCCATTAACCTGGAGGTTGACTAAGACACCTAACGGAGCCTAAGAATGAAAAGAGGTTAAGTAGTCCCCCAGATAAGCAGGGCGAGTTCGTGCCCGCATAGGCCTGTCTTCCACCGCCACCGCTTGTGGCTCTGGCCCCTGGGGAACCCACAGAGGCTGGGGCTCAGGTGGTAGTGGTGGAGGAGGTCCATCCGGTGGCGTCTCTGGCCTGCATGTCTGTTTTGTGTGCCTTCGTGTTCCTTGATGGGCAGGGACTTTTCTGAGGCGGCTGGCGTGCCAGCGTGATCCATTGCTCATCATGAATGTGGCAGGCCCCAGTTGTCGACTGACCTGCAAGGGGTCCGACCAGAATGAGGCCATTTTGTTGCACCGCTGAGGCCGTCGGGCTCGGACCCAGTCTGACACTTGAATGATCGACTTCTTCACCCTGTGTGCCTTGTCAAAACGCTGTTTCATTGCTCTTTGGTGCCTGGTCACTGCCTGCTGTTCTTGGGTGCGCCTAGTCGCCGGTTCTGCTACTCTCTGTGTTCTGAGTCTGTCCAGTGGCAGTTCCATCTCACGACCTAGCATGAGGGATGCCGGGGAGACCTGTGTTGTTGTGTGTTTGCTTGCTCTGTAGTGCATTAGCGTTTGATTCAAAGCAGTTTGGAACGTGCACCCCTGGACCAGGTGCGCTCTGATGCCATTCTTCAGCGTTTGGTTGAAGCGTTCCACCCCTCCGTTAGCTTGTGGGTTGTAGTAGGCCGTGCGGATGTGTTTGATTCCCTTGTTGCTGAGATATGAGGAGAACTCGGCAGAGGTTAGCTGGGGCCCATTGTCCGTGGTAAGGGTGAGGGGTAGGCCCCACCTTGTGAACAGGCTGTCTAGGATGGCCACGATGGCCTGTGCTGTGACAGTTCCGACAGGAACCACTTCTGGCCACTTAGAGTGGAGGTCATACACCACCACCAGGAAGCGCTGATGGTGAGGGACTGCATGTCCATGGATCTCACCACAGATGTCCAGTTGGATGTGCTCCCAGGGGTGGGACGGCCATGCGAGAGGCTGCAGGGGGGGTGGGGCGGACTGTCCTGTTTTCCCACTGAGGAGGCATGCAGCACAATCCCTGACCAGGGCTTCAATGTCGTGGTCGATGCCTGGCCACCACACAAGGTCTCGACATCGCTGTTTGACCTTGACTATGCCCAAGTGACCCTCGTGCGCCATGGATAGAACACGCGCACGCAGGCCACTCGGGACCACAGTGCAAAACCCTCGAGAGACACAGACTTCTTCCCAGCAAGAAAGTTCGTGCTTCACTCTGGCGAAAGTCGCCAGCTCTTCCGGCACATGTGCTGGCCATCCAGTGCGTATGTAGGTGCGCAGGGTAGACAGTGTGGGATCCTGTTCCGATGCTTGCTTCAGCTCCTCCAGTGAGACGACTGACTGAAGAGGAGCGTAGAGCATTTGTACAAGCTCTGTTTCGTTGTCGTCTGGCAAGACGGTCGGAGTAGGAGCGTCAAAGGAGCGTGAGAGGAGGTCTGCCACCACGTTATCCCTCCCCGGAGTGAACTTCAGCTGATAGTCATACTGTCTGAGGCGGTCGGCCCATCTGTGCAGCCGAAGTGGCTTGTGGCCAGTTCCTGATGCTGACAGTAGCGTTGTGAGGGACTGGTGGTCGGTTCGGAGTGTGAACAGACGGCCATATAGGTAGAGGTGCCACCTTTCGCACGCCCAGACACAGGCCAGTGCTTCTCGTTCGCCCACAGAGTACCGTTGTTCTGTGGGGCTCAGGGCCCTTGAGGCGAAGGCGACGGGCCTCTCAATGCCATTCTGCAGCTGTGAGAGGACAGCTCCTAGTGCTCCAGCTGAGGCGTCACATGTGACAATGGTGTGGCAGACGGGGTCAAAGTGAGCCAAGACTGGGGCTGTGGTGAGCTGGCTCTTCAGTGAGTGGACCGCGTCTGAGCAGGCTGCCGTCCAGGCCCATGGCTCATCCTTCTTGAGGAGCTGGCGAAGGGGCGCTGTGGTCTGAGAGTAGTGGGGCAGAAACCGGAGGTAGTAAGCTGTCATGCCCAAGAATGAGGCCACCTGAGAGGCTGAGGTCGGTTCCGGGATCCGGTGGACGGCTTCAATGTTCGATATGAGTGGGGCAATGCCTTTGGCCGACAGGCGGAAGCCCACAAACTCGACAGCTGGAGCTGCAAAGGTGCACTTTCCACCGTTCAGGGTCAGGTTGTTCCGCAGTAGAGCACTGAATACTCTGTGGAGTCGATAATCATGGATGTGGAGGTCAGGGCCGTGGACCACGATGTCATCCAGATAGACCGCCACCCCAGGTATTCCAGCGAGGATGGTGCTCATCACCTTCTGGAAGCAGCTGGGGGCGGAGCTAAGTCCAAAAGGCATGCGTGTATATCTGAACACGCCAGCATGTGTGACAAAGGCCGTGAGGTCTCTGCTAGCTGCATGGAGGGGTACCTGAAGATAACCCTGACGAAGGTCAAGCTTCGTGAAGATCGTGGAGCCATGGAATTGTGCGGTCAGCTCCTCAGCTGTAGGCAAGGGGTACTTATCCGGGACAACGGCCTTGTTCACAGCACGGAGATCCACACAGGTCCGGATTCCACCGGACTTTTTGGTTGCAATGACCAAGTTTGAAATCCAGGGGGCAGCGTTGACTGGCTCAATGATGCCTGCATCCAACTGTGACTGGAGATCTTTTGTGACGTCATCACGCAGTGCAAAGGGAATGCGCCGCAGGGGCTGCATGACTGGGGTCACTTCCGGATT